TCAGATAAGCCTGCCCTCGTGCTCCTGTTTTGTACATTCTTGGAATGAACCACTTAAACCAAGCTGTGGGCCATACCTGCCAAGTCAGGGCTGATGCCTTATCAGGTAGAAACGTCAATTCTTAATGATTCCCCACGGGTAGGAATGCTGGAGGATGACCTACTGGCCCTAAACATAACTCATTTGTACTGAACACCTCCTCCACGGAGGTATGTTGGATGTGACACTGGGGTGTGTGTGTGTGTGTGTGGGGGGGGGTAACATGGCTGCAGGAGGAAGCTGAATTGGGGCTGAGAATTCGAATCCAATGAAGGGTGCCTGTTCTTGAGGAAGCCACCTTCACAAGCACTGCTCTTTGCTCATCAGGTGCTGTCTGCCTAGAACATCCCCTTACTGCAACCTGTCTCTGGGTCGCCTGTTTCCTCTCTCACCCCTTACACCTTTGCCCTAGTGCCACCAGTGTCCGCCTTCAAATGCCGCAGGAGTCCCCACTCTAAATGCACCTCCTCTCCTTCTGCTGAAATCACAACCATCTCCTGACCCCCACCCGCATTTTTCCAAATGTCCTCAATTCCTTCCCTCCTGAATCCTTTGTTCTTGGATGTTCCCTGTACCTGGCATGCCAACCCTGGCTCTCCCTCAGCTCAGGTGCTTCTTCCAAAGGAGGAAGTCCCTCTGACTCTCCTGTCTAAAGTGGGCCATCTCCCCAGTGCTTTCTCCACACCTGTGCCAGTTCCACAAAGCCAGTCGCTATTGATTGATCCTACTCGTGGCAACCCCAATCAAGCAGAAGAGTATTGCTCTCTAAACTGTTTTCTTCAACTTTCGTTCAATCGAGATGGCCAAGCCTGTCTTCCTAAGCCCCTCTGGATGGCCTTGAAACTCCAGCCTTTGGATCAACAGCAGACCGTGTTACCATGTGTACCGCCTGGCATCCCTAGTGCCAGCTACTCAGTCCCACCACCCTGTCTTATTTCCTTCAGGGCCTTTATCACTCTGGGGAATTCTTATTCATTTGCATATCACTGGCCTTCTCCGATTAACCCCTAAATGCCTAAGAGGAGGGACTTCATCTGCTGCCTGCACAAATGCATCTCGGGAGCCTGGTAGAACCAGGCACTAAAATGTTTGTTAAACATTTTAGGACATTTTTGTCTCTAACACCAAGTGCCTAAGAGCATGCTGGAGAAGTCTGACAAGTACCATGGAGTGCTAAAAGGACACAGGAATCTGTTTTAGAAGACATGCATATGGCCAGAGGGCTCCTTAGAGGCAAGGATGGCAAGACTTTGTTTTATCTACTTTGGACATGTCAGGAGAGACCAGTCTCTGGAGAAGGACATCATGCTTGGTCAAGTGGACGGGCAACAAAAAAGAAAGAAAGAAAAAAGGCCCTCAATGAGAAAGATCGACACGGTGGTTGCAAAAATGGGTTTGTGGATATTGTGAGGACAACAGTGTTTCGTTCTGCAGTGCATGGGGTCGCTATGGGTGAGAACCAGCCCACTGGCACTGAACAGATTGTGGAGCTTGAAGTGAAACAGATCTGTGTGGTCCCATTTACCAGCTGGGAGAAGTCCCTTAACCTCTCTAAGCTCCATTCTGATTTATAAATAATCAAGTGCTCACTAAATGGAAGTTATTTTTGTTCACTGGAAAGTTTTGTATAACTCATCTCTGTTAGGCTGAGACCCCTGGTGGCAGGCATTCCCTCATTCATCTTTGCCTCCACTCAGTTTGAAGGTCCCTTTCACCTTCAGCACCTGCTGAGTGCCTCCTTCCTGCAGAACAGGTCACTTTGTCCTAAAGAGTCTATTTAGTCCTCTTTCTTTATAAAACTCAAAACCAAGCACACTGCGGGATAGACTCCAAGGACTGTATGGGATGGGGTATACCTGCCCCTTTGGGTTTCTGAGACTAACTCTTTGTGGGAGTAGACAGTCTCATCTTTCTCAAAAGGAGTGGCTGGTGAGTTTGAACCACGGACCTTGTGGTTAGCAGCTCAGTGCACATCTCACTGTATCACCAGGATGCCACAGGGACATGGAGATCTCCAAACCCTAGCAACGATGTGTTAAACAAGCAAATGACGAACATGATTTAGCAGATACCTGGTAAGTCTTTACGGAATACACTGTTCATCAGACTTTCAAAAGGAGGCATTCTAAACACACGAATCAGCCAATACTGCCGGATGGCATGTGATCAATTGCCAAAGTACGTATGATCAAATGATAAAAATGGGTGCTGTGGATGCTCTACAGCAGAGGTTGCCAACACAGAAGCTCTCAGGGCCAGGCAAGGGGCCCAGCCAGGTAGATGGAGAGGGTGCGAAATGGGAAAACCGGAAACGGCTTCTTTGGAAAGGGCTCCAGTTCTGCTGCCATCCTGGAATGTGGGCCTGAGGGCCTCGTCTTCACATTCTCCTGGTCACATGTGGCAGCTCAGATTTGGTATGGCATTTCCCATGTTGTAAGACAGTTGGCAACTCATTTAAATTTATTAGACACCAATTTGAAGCCCATGAAACATGTTTGGAAGCCATTTTACATGCCTGCTCAGGTGACCAGAGGGAGGACCAAACCTTAAGTAGATAGGGTAGCTGATGCTGACTCATAAAAAGACCCTACTGAGCAGAGTAGGATGGACGCCATATCTTTAAGGAAACAGATCATCCTGCTGTGGATCTGCTGGTGGGTTCGAACTATTGATCTTGGTTAGGTGAGTAGCACAGTGCTGAATCATGGCAACATCTTAGACCGGCATTCATGGAGGAAGGCTTTATACGAGGAAGACTATCTGAAGGTATCGTCTCAATTGCTCACTTACCAATGTATTAAAAACAAATGATTCTTGATTTTTGGCTAAAGATTCCCCTACAGCATGCAGTAAGCATATAGTGAGAACAGCATATACTAAACGCCTGTCGGGGTGATATTAACGTGTGAATCGGAATTGACTCCATGACAGTGAGAAATGCCAGCTCCCTCTGGGACATCATGGCTGCTCAGCTCAAGCAGCACTGTTGAAACAGGACTGTCACCTGGCCAGAATCCCTCTCTTGGTGACACTGAGACAAGCAGGAGGCATTTCACCTCTCATTAGACCTCTCTGCCAGAGTGACTGACAGTAGGCCATCTTACGGATTCTCCCACCCAGGGAACCCACCCACCACCACCTAGAATGGAAGTGGCCAGCAATCTGGCAGCCACAAACTGATCCATTATTGTCCGACTTTGGTACTCTAGTAGCTTACCACCAAGGTGAGCCGTTCAAAACTACTAGGCCCATCCGTGGAAAAGAAACAGGGCTTTCCACTCCTATAAAGGACAGGGAGCAGTGTTCTTCCCTGTCCTATAGGGTTGCTATGAGCAGGAATCCATTTGGCGGCAGCGAGTTTGGTTTTTGGAAGCCTGGCTCTTCTCTGTCAAACAGGGACCTGCATGAGCTGGCATGGGTAGGGACAGCACCAAGAACCCCCAGAAGATGTGTTATTATGAGAGGATTTGGGGGTGGGGGTGATGGATTCATCTGGCTACATGCACCTAAGACTAGCCTGGGCGACTTTAATTTAATCTTGACGGCAGGTGTGCAGAAAGCTCTCTTTTTCGGTGTAACTTACCCTGTGATCTTACACTTGCTGAAAGACTAACTTCCATCAAAGCTCTGCCAATATTGATTGTACAGGCTCAAAAGTACATAAGTAGATTGATTTTATTTTGTCTTCCTCAAACTAAAAAGGTTCACCGTGGCGTTAGTATATTTGTTTCCACTGGTTGGAAACACACTGAATAAATAATAGCCTTACCTGGAAAATACACACACACAACCTTCGTCAACTGCAAGTGGTGGAAACCAAGGTAGAGGCTTCTTGAGTTGCACTCTCAATTTCTCCCCACACTAGGTGGGGTGCTTCTAGATAAAGCCCATTGTAAAGGGACTTGCCACCCTGAGCCCTGATGTTGAAAACACACACACAACTACAGCCTACATCTTAGGGGGGAAGAAAACAAAGCAGCAAGTGGGAAAGCCGCCTCACATGCTGGGGGTAAACAGGCAGCACTCGCCTATGGTCACTTCCATAAGCCAGTAGCAGGAAGGAAACATATTCATCAGGGGCCTCTAGTTTGTCATTTAAGGGCAATTAGGCAATCCCGCCATCCCCCACCTCCAAAGGGGGAAAAACGAAAAATAAAAAACCAGCTTTGACTGTTTTTCTTCCACGGAAGGAGTCGCTAACGTTTTTGGAAACAACGGAGGTTGTGAAATCCATTTTGTGCGAACTTCGAGGGACCTAGGACAACACAGAACACTGATCCTGGGAGGCAGCCAGGAACGAAGTCATCGTTCTGTTCCTGTCGTCCTCCTCCTACGCCGAAGTTTCCCAGTATTCACCTGGAAACACCTCTAAGCTGAAGTTCTCGATCTGGCTCTGACACCAGACCTTTTCCGTGAAACTGGGAAAGAAAAGAAACAAGCAACCATCCCCAGGTGAGTTCCTCCCTCCCCAGGTACAGGGGAAAGACAGATGAGCCAAGAACAAACACCCAACTCTTAGTCACTCCCCCAGTTCTCTGCTGGCAGGTGGCCTTTGTCTTCCAAGTTCTTAAAGCCACAGCTCGGAAAGATACGGCCAGAGCAAGCGAGGTGGGACCCGCAAAGCCAGAGCCTGGGCACTCACACACAACACAGGAGCGCAGTTAACCCCGTGGCCAGCCAATGGATGCCTTACCAGCCGGATTTAAACGAACTCAGATGCGGGGGTGTGGCCAGGGCGGAGCTTCACGGCCTGGGTGGGCGGGGCTGGGGCGGGGGATTCCGGCGGCTCGGCTCGGGGTAGGAAAGACCTGGGCTCCGGGAGCGAGCGCCTGTCCCTTTAAATGCCAGAGGCAGCGCTCCCGCCCGGGGAGCCCGGAGCCGGAGCCGGAGCCGGAGCCGGATCTACAATCCCGTCTCTCCCGCTCCGGCGCTTGTTGCTCGCCGGGCCGAACGCGAGCTGCCGCCGCTGGGCCGCGAGCCTCCCTCCATCTGCTCCTCCTCCTCCTTCTCTTTTCGCCCCACCTCCCCTGAGAGCTGGGGGCAGGGGAGCCGCAGCCCCAGCTGGAGGGAGGCGGCGCGGTGCCAACAGTCATTGCCCCCCATCTTCAAGTCTCGGGGCGCTACGCAGCCGCGGGGGGGAAGATATGCGTCGTTCCCCCCAGCCCGGCCTCGCTGCCGCCCTCGCCGGGAGAGGAGGGACTGAGGCGCCCACACCTGCAAACTCGCCCTAGAAGTCTCGGGGTGCCACGGGGGCCCCTCCCCGTTCCCGACGGCCTCCACCGCTGCGGGTGAGTTTGCGCGGGTAACCGGAGCCACCGGGCGGGGGAGGGGCGGCCGAGCGGCGCCGCAGGTGAGCCAGGTAGGGTGGCTCACCTGGCCCCGCCGCGCGACGGGAACCCTCGGCCGTCCCCACGGGAAAGGAGGCCTGGGAGGGGGTAAGGGGTTCGCTGGGTCCCAGGGGCGGGAGAGGGAGTGAGCAAAGGTGGGTGCTGGAGTAAACTTTCGCCCCCCCCTCCCTTGTCTGCCCGGGCTGGGCAGGTGGGGCGCGGGCGGAAGCAGCTGGAGTGCTGATGCAACGGCCCTTTGCCCGGGCGAGGGGAAGGGCTGAAGGCGGGGGAGACCTGAGGTTGCCTGGCGGCGTCTTGTGACCGTGACCCGACAGGTGGAGGAACACGGGGCGACTCGGTCCAGCCGAGGCAACCCCCTCCAATGGCTCCAGGTGCTGACTGCCAACCGTGCCCCCCACTCTCCTCTTAACAAGGAATCGCCCTCCTCGCCGAGGGGCTTCTAAAGCCTAGCTTCCTGGCCTTTCCTCTCCCAACAGGTGGCCCGAGCCCCTGTCCGGGAACCCGCGCCAATGCCCCGAGTGGTGGTTTCGCTTTCTCCCTTCGAGGCCGTGTGAACTGGCGTCAGCAACGTGATGGGCAACCAGGTGGAGAAGCTGACCCACCTAAGTTACAAGGAAGTTCCCACAGCCGACCCGACCGGCGTAGACCGGGACGACGGCCCCCGGATCGGGGTCTCCTACATCTTCTCCAACGACGATGAGGACGTGGAGCCGCAGCCGCCGCCCCAGCTCCCGGATGGCAGCTGCTTGTCCGAGGGCGGGGACGGGCAGCCGCCGCCCCCGCCGCAGCCCTACGACCCGCGGCTGCACGAGGTGGAGTGCTCCGTCTTCTACCGCGACGAGTGCATCTACCAGAAGAGCTTTGCGCCGGGCTCGGCGGCGCTGAGCACCTACACGCCTGAGAACCTGCTCAACAAGTGCAAGCCGGGCGACCTGGTGGAGTTCGTGTCGCAGGCGCAGTACCCGCACTGGGCCGTGTACGTGGGCAACTTCCAGGTGGTGCACCTGCACCGGCTGGAGGTGAGCAACAGCTTCCTGACGGACGCGAGCCAGGGCCGGCGCGGCCGCGTGGTCAACGAGCTGTACCGCTACAAGCCACTGAGCCCCAGCGCCGTGGTGCGCAACGCGCTGGCGCACGTGGGCGCCAAGGAGCGCGAGCTGAGCTGGCGCAACTCGGAGAGCTTCGCCGCCTGGTGCCGCTACGGGAAGCGCGAGTTCAAGATCGGGGGCGAGCTGCGCATAGGCAAGCAGCCCTACCGGCTGCAGATCCAGCTCTCGGCGCAGCGCAGCCACACGCTGGAATTCCAGAGCCTGGAGGACCTGATCATAGAGAAGCGGCGCAACGACCAGATCGGGCGCGCGGCCGTGCTGCAGGAGCTCGCCACGCACCTGCACCCAGCTGAACCCGACGAGGGCGACTGCGACGTGGCGCGGACTACGCCGCCCCCCGGGCGCCCCCCAGCGCTGGCCCCTGAGGCGGTGGAGCACTGACGGGCAGGGGAGCGCGCCCGGTGGGCTGCGGAAAGAAACTGTTTGCAACAGACAGGGCCCCTTCTCCCCCTCCCTCCTATGCCTCCCACTTCGTGCCAGTTGGGCTCCTGGGCATTCCGGAAATGGAGACGGGGCGGATGGTGCCGCCATCGCCACAGCCTGCGGAGGCTTGAGCTTGCCACCTTGGACTGGGGAGGAGGAGGGCAGCAGAGGGAGCAGGTAGGCGCACCTTTGACTGGGGGCATTACCATTCCTCCTTCGCAGCCAGCCTGCCTTTCCTGCGAGGCAAACTGTGGACCTGCCAGGCACTTAATACCCGTTGGACCTGGGTCCAACATCCACCCCTTCCGTCCCGGAGAAAAGTTCTCTGAACCGCTGCCTGTCCTGGGCTTCCTGGGTGCCTGGGACAAAAGCTGGAGCTGATTTGGGGGTAAGGGGTCAGCCTGCCAGGAGAGCTGCTTATCAGCCTCCTCCCTCGAAATGCTGTGTGCTCAGAATCTGGAAGGTTGGGAGATTTATGGGATTCCTGGGTTGCAGGCTGGAGGAGCCATGGCAGGGTCTGGGAGCAGCCGACCCAAGCCAAGCGGGGGACCCCCATGAAATGTAACAAATAGTTAAATTGGGCTGCAAACAAAGACTTTGCTGCCCTGCCCCACCCCCACCCCCTTTTCCTTTTCAGTTGCTGGCTCTGAGCTGCCTCTCCTGCTCCACTCCGCCCCTTTCCAGGTTACAAGTAAATTATTGTCGCGGGTTGGCCAGGGGAAAGATTCAATTAAAGGTTCGGTAGGCTGCCTTTGTTTCTCGCCTGCTGTTGTAGGCACTTTATTGCTGTGTTATTTGTTATCAAAGGCGGGACTAGCCCTTTGAGTCACCGATCTCATTAAACCTGCTCTGTTGTGCTCTTCTGCCGGTCACAGATGGGGTTGTCAACCGCCGCCCCATAAAGTATCCACTGCAGAAGCAGCCACGCAGGGCTGCCCTGGCAGGAACCCGTTAATCTCCCATCCTCACCCCCCCTGTCACCCCCTTCCTGAATATAGAAGCAAAGTCTTTATAAAGCTTAGGGCTTTGTTGAGGATCCTCTGGTTCCTCCACCCCGCCCCCTCGCTACCCTGCCCCCCAATTCCACTTTATTTTTGCTGGTGGTGAAATCCTAGGCTGGCGGAGGCTGTAGTTGGAGGGTCGAAATACCCTTTTTGCAGCCACACCAGGTGCCGTTTAATTCAAAACGCAAAGTCTTGTGATCCTGCAGCCACTTCCATGTCCACAGGAGCAAACACTCTTGGAAAGCTTTTCCCACTAAGGGGGCGGTGTGGGGGTGGCCCAGAACATCAGCCACAAATCAACGCTCCCTGGGGTGTTCATGGCAGGCTGAGCTGAGCCCAAGAACTCCTGTGTGCTTTAAGATTGTGAGGCTTTCAATAGAGACACATTTTAACAAGCTGTGCCCCCTCCCTCCATTCTGTTTGTGTGAGCCCTTCCCTGATGTCTGCACCATCCCAGAATGCTCGCTCCCCTGCCACACGTTGCCATTGGAGCCTCAAACTTGGAGTAAATGGGCTGTGAGTCAGGCTTTTGTTGCTTCCCTTTCCCCTCCTGGAGGTCATTCTGTGACCTAATTCCAAAGGCTGGACTAGTTTTAGGCTTGAGCATTCACACCAGAGGGTCCTCTTTAAGCAGGCCCTTGCCTGAACCTCCCTGAAGCAAGACTTGAAGGACTTTCTTGTATGCCTTTTCCCCCTCTTTTTCCTCTGTTTTCCAAAACTGGAAGTTAAGGCCATGGTTTTAAAAAACAGGCCTTCATAACAACTCCTTAAAATCAAAATCTTTTCATTACCTGTTCCCGGTTCTCAAAGCTGTCACTCAACAGGTCCAATGGCATTCATGGTGTGAGATCAGCTTTCCTTCAAGTCCATGTCTCGGGCTTTTGAGGGAAGTAAACCGCTGGTTGGAAGTCTAGGTTCTTTGATCCGTGGGAGTTCTGCATTTGGTTCTCTGGCAGCTTTGTGGTTATATGAGCAGACTACGAAAAGTTGCTGGGAAAAGCCCACCAACATTCTCCCCTGTTGGCACGAATTTTAGAAACCCCCTTGTATTCTCGGGCCTATGGGAAAAGGCCAAGATAAATGTGGGCAAAGACTTTTAGAAGAACTTAGAATACTGTGAGTGGTCCTTGGGTAGTGCAGATGGTTACCAGGTAGGTGCCTCAGAAGAAAGGCCGGGTGGTCTCCTAAACACTTGGCTGTTGAAAACTCTAGAGCGCACAATTCTCCATTCGTGTCTGGTCATGCTGAGGTGTGCTGTGAGTAGATGCAGGCGAGTCGAAATTTGGCTCAGAGTGCCCCCATATGACAGAGTAAAACTGCCCCCAGAGGATCTTTCCTGGGCTGTGATATTGACAGGCAGATTGCCAGGTTTTTTCTTCCTCTGAGCTGCTGGTGGGTTCCGCCCGCCAACTTTTCAGCCAGTAGCCTGGCCCTTAACCTCCAAGCACATTCCCCCACCAGGGTGCTTTACACTTAGGGGTAACCACAGCTACTCACTCTATGTGACCTGCTCTTCCTGAGCCTTGTAGGCTAAAAAACAGCACTGGTTGAAAGTGGGCACCAGCAATAGCACCGAATGCTGGCGCAGAGGTCTTTGATACCAGAGCTGGAAGAAGGAATTGCAGTAACAGACAGACACTCCAGATGAGGCCTCTGTGTGGGACTGAGTATTGCTCGCAGGGTACCAGAGGGGCCAGATACTGAGTGCTCCATAGGGCCAGGATGCCCCAAGGCAAGAACAAGGCTCCAAGAAAGGGAGGGGCGAGGAGGGTGCCTCCTCCAGATGGCAATGTTGTGGGTCAGTGACTTTTTAGTGCCCCGGCAGTGGCTACAGCTGGCACTTAAAAAATAAAGTCTTAACAATTTTTATTTCTCCATAGGAATAACACTGTAGAGCTATTTTGAACTGTGAATTACTGATGCTCTTTGAAGGCAAGGAAAGTTGATGCCACTGATGACAGTGGCTCTGGCGGGCCAAGCAGGAAGCCCCCCTGGGGGGTACTTATGCTGAGGGAACTCAGACAAATTCTATTTTCTTACCTGAGCAAATATTTTATTGAGATTGCTTATTTACACAACACCAGGAGCCCCCAACTTCAGCCACATGAGATGTTTTTGTACTACAAGTATGCATACTTTTTGTAGGGCTTGAATTCCACATTATCAATTAAAATGACTTTGTACCACTGAATATGCCTAGGAGCAAATAGAACCTGACGGTGGACCTTTAAAGCGACCCCTTCAGTGGTGGTAATCACCCAAGTCCTCGGTGCTTCCAGCCCTGATTGTACCACCGAGCAAACACCCACACTCCTACATGGAGACCTATTTTTGGAAGAAAAACTTTAATTTTATATGACACAGAGGCTATGGAGAGTTAAGAAAACTATATGGACTACTTGTTTTCTATTTTTTTGGTAAACAATGGAATTCACTGTGTCGGATACTCTTGATGTATGTGCTCATCTCATCATTTAAGAAAAATTAATTGGAATGAAACCAAGTGTGATAGCGATCAAATGGAATCCTTCGGAAGCTGCATCTTTTGTTTGTGGATTTCTTTAAAGACAAAACAATCAGGGTAACGATCAACTTGACTGGTTCATTCAACGGCACTCTCTCATTTTCTTGCTAACACTTGTGACGATGAAGAATTTCATTGCCTCACAGGATAAATGCCACCTGTATTTTATTTCCCCATGAGTTGTGTCCTTATTTTTGTTGTTGAAGGTCTCCTGTCCAATCAACGTTACATTCTCACTGCACTTCTTGAGAAGGAAGTGCTGATTGAAAACTGTATCATTTCCTTCAAAATGAAGGGCTCTGCTTAGTTAAATAAAAGATTGATGATATCTTTTCAACTATTTCCTCTTCACTGTTTGCCTTATTAAAAATAAAGCCTGCTGGGTGTCTTTCACTCTTTCTTTTGAATCCTGAAGGTTTCCAATAAAACAGTACGGGCTAACTATAATTCACCACACTTGAATATGTACGTTTAACATGCCCCTCCCCCTCCCTTTTTTTGGGGTGGTGGTGGTGGTCCAGATTCAAGCACATATGGGTTATATATGATCTTGTCATGACTCGCTAAACATGCTGAGGAATTCATTTCATGGCCCAAATTCCTTCATTTTCTGTGTGAGAATCACCCATTGCTTGCAGATTATTGATGTTCATAAAAACTGGTGCATACACACACATTTCCAATACACATTGGATTTTTAATGTGTAAAATTTTTTTCTCCTTTTCAGAACCAGACAAAAATGACTGGAATTCACACACTTGGGAATCTACGTGAGAGTTTGGACATTCGAATGAGTAACCCACATGCCCTCTTGGCCTGTCGCAGAGTCCCAGGCCAAGTGGGGACATGCTCCTCCCCTGACCGAATAGTCATGTGACACTTGACATGACTTGGGATGCTTGGGGCACTGATCTGCTAAGACACAGATGTGGCACCTGGGACTGGAGCATGGGAGACACCCTGCACTTGTCAGCCAGTGCTTCAAGCCACTTTCTTCCTGTGCAGTTTGAAAGGCTGGGCTTTGTCCGCAGACTCCAGGAGAATTCTAAGTGGGGAGAAAAATGAAAGGTACCCAGGTGGCTATGATGCTATTTGCCCTCAGTGGTTCTCCCTACACAGAGGAGGGTGGGGGTGGGGGAAACGAGCTGAGGAATGTGCTTTGGTCTTGGGTGAACAGCAGAGACCACTGTTCCAATTCCCACGAAGTGGACTCAGCCTGCTTAATCAGGCAAATGACATGTTTGAAAGTGTTTAAAAGACCTTCTGAAATGTACAGGCAGAATATGTACAGAAAGACATTTCCTCGTGCTGAGTTTCCTGGGGAAACTGCTGCTTATTAAACACATGACAGCAATTGTATCTGCAGAATAGATACCAAAATGGTTAGTGCCTGCATTTGGAACCTGCATGAGATAATGAAAAATTTATAAAGGGCGAGATGATGCTGAGGGAGCCCTGGTGGTCCTGTGGTTTGGGTGTTGGGCTGCTAGCCTACAAAGGGGTGTAGTTCAAAGCCATCAGCTGCCCCATAGGGAAAAGAGGCGGTCATCTATTTTT